TCTTTAATTTTTACTAAAGAAATAGGGGGGCAGGCTTAAATAAATTTTGAGAAAATTTAAAAAAACTTTTCAAAAATCATTTTAGCAGGCAAATTTGCCTGCTAGACAGTTTAAAGGATAACCCTTTTTTCTGTCTATTTTAAGCCCAAAATAATTTATAAAATGGTTTGTGATATTTTCAGAAATATGTGACCCATATAAACCTGTATTGAGTAATGCATGAGGTATTTCTAAATCATATACTTTATATAAAATAGTGGTATAATTATTGGGTTCTTTTATTTGCAAAAAGTTTATTTTTAATGGGTCAAACCAATTTCAATATAATTGAGCCTCTTGATATTGTTTTATAGCATAATTTAGAGACTGTGCCTTCTCACAATAATTGCTTGAAGTCAAAGATATGCCAGTATCTTTTTCTGAGCATGCAATGAAAAATGGTTCTAGAATAAATTGATATTTTTTTGTTATATTTTCCCATGCTTTGTCTACTTCTTTATTTGAATAGTTTTTAGAATGATATGAATAAAATGAGTCTTTCATTTCAGGAAACAATTTACTAAAATCTGTATATATTTCAATAAGAATTTCTTTAGAGCATTGTGAAATATATCTTGTTAATATATGTTTAACAGATTCTAAAAATATCTGATTTTCATTAATAGTTTTTTTACTAGTTTTTGGTTTAGTAGAACTAGCTTTGCTATATCCTCCAGTAGCACTCTTCTTTATAGAAACCCTCTTTTTTTTTATATTAAAACAATTTGTTTCTTGAGGTTCAATCTCGCTATTTTCTTTTTGGTCACTTTCTTCTTGGTCACTTGATCGCTTTCATTATCTTCTGATTGGCTTTGGTCTATATATCCATATTGTAAAATATTATTAACTTTTTTAGCTTTAGGGCAATTAGTTTTTGTATAACCAGTGTTTCCACACATTGAACAGTATCTTGCAACAGTTTTTTTCCTAGTTTTTGTAGACTTTTTTGTAGTGTACAATTTTTTTGATTGTATATTAAAATTTGAATAGCCTAATCTGTTATACAATTCTTTTTCAATAAAGTTGTTCAAAACATCAGGATCACAAGATGTGTCATCAGGATAACCTAATCTTTGCGCAATAAAATCTAAATGATCTAATACTTTTTTATATATAGTTAAATTTTCACTAGGTATTGTATTAGATAAAATTATAGGAACTGATGAATTGTTATTAACTCCATTATATGTAAAAGTAGAAGGTTTTCGCTCAAGCCATGTATCTTTAACAGCAGTAAAGAATACATTTATATCTGCTGGGTTTGTGATTTTAACTCTTGTAAATAATTTATCAGGTAAATGAGTCCATAATATGACCAATGCATCCTGGTTATTATTTGGTGTTTGTAACAATAAATTCTCTCTTCATAGGTTTGGGGGGTATCAGTAAAATTAAATTTTTCTTGAGCTAATCTGGATAAAGAAGCATTGTGAGAACCTATTGTTTCTTCATGATATTTATGTTGTAACCAAGCTAAGAATCGTGTTGGGCTATTAATATCTGTACCTGCTAGATATTGGGCTGGAACAGGAGTATACTTATCAGATATTTTGGATTTTAAAATTTCAGCTTTTACACCGTCATTAAATCCAACAACTGCTAGTGTACCTCCATATGCAAATACTTGTACTACTTTATTATAATATTCATCTGGGGGTTCCTGACCTATATATTGGGGAATTTGAGCAATTAATGGGGATAATGAAGATATAACATCTTGTAAAGTTGCCATGTTTGCTATATTATTCTGTAGTACAAAAATTTGTTGATTTAAATTATTAATTAATTGTTCAGAATTTTGTGTTTGAGTTTTCCACTTACCCCACTTGTTATCTAGTTAAATATTAGCAAGTAATAGATCATTTTTTAGAGTTTTGCATTTATTTTTCCATTTGGTGTATCGTTTTGTTGTAAGATTTAAGAGATGCATAGTAATTTCTCTATTTATTTTACAATCTTGTAGTTGCTGATAGGCTTTTTTATTTTTGAATCTTAATACAAAGCTTTCTAGAAGCAATTCTGATATTTGGCTTTTTTGTGTACGGATTGTAATTTGGCCATTTAGTTCTTGAAATTTAAATATATTATGCTGTGTTCTGTGGGCCTCATAAGCCTGATGAAGAAGATTATAGTCATTTTGAAGCATAGTTAACTGGGTTTGTAAATCTGCAAACTGGGTCTGGAAATTAGCTAATTGGGTCTGCAAATTTACTACTTGATTTTGATATTGATTGCTCGGGCATTTGTTTGTAGATATATTTGTAGTACCAATCTTTCAAACCTATTTCCAGCATCAGAAATTATATTAAGGTAATCTACAATGCTATTTATTGTAGGTGCAGTTGTAATTGGGTTCTGAAAATATCATCTAATATTGTCAATTTCTCTTTGAATTCTATTATTTTGGATTCTGGCTTGATTTTTAGATAGAGATAATCTGGGTGATCCTGGTGGTTGTGCCATAGTATTGCTAAAGCTATACAAATCAAGAATTTTTTCATTAAGCTTGTCTATTTCATTCTGAAAAATTGCTAACCGTTTTTCTAAATAATCTATATAATTCTCTTGATTTATAGAATTTTGAAGCATCTTTTCTAACTGTTCTTTAAGATTAGATATTTCTAATCGTAATGGGTCTAGATTCTCATCTCGAATTAAGATTTCTTTTTCGAGATATTTAATATAATCTTCTTTTAAAACTAAATCCTGCTGTAATTTGCTAACTCAATCTTGTATTACCAATAAAGCACCTTTAAACTGTTTGATTTTTTCGCTCATTTTTTCTCACAAGTGAGCTGGTTTAAAAATGTTATCTATTCCTATAATACAAATAGATTCTAAAAAAGCTTATAAACTAGATATATCTATTGCTTTGCGTAAGATTTATTATCAACCTAATGGCTACCAAAGAACCATGAAAAAATTGCATGAAGCTTCTCTAAAAGCAAGATATAATTTTTCTATCGATGAAATATGTAATTGGCTTGAAAAACAGGCTTTATATCAGATTTATAAACCATGTCCAAAGTTTATTCCTAAAGCCTCATCTAATAGTATACAGATTCCTAATGAATGCCATCAAGCAGATATTCTTTATATGCCTTATGATATAATTGGGCATAACAAAATATATAAGTATTGTTTATATATAGTTGATGTTGCTTCCAGATATAAGTGGGCAGTTCCTTTAACAGATAAGACATCAAGTAGTGTAGCTAAAGCCTTTAAGAAAGT